TAGTAGTAGTAGTAGTAGTAGTAGTAGTAGTAGTAGTAGTAGTAGTAGTAGTAGTAGTAGTAGTAGTAGTAGTAGTAGTAGTAGTAGTAGTCATCGGTATTTTGACTGGTATTTTAATTTTTGTTGTTGTCGTTTTTTATTGTCTGCACTACTACTACTACTACTATTACAATTAATATTAAATCCTGCTGAACAATAACGGTAATATTGAAACTGATAACAATAACAGTAATATCGAAAATGAAGCACTTGATCTCCCATTGAATATCATTCAGAGAGGAAATATTTCATGATCTTCTGGAAACATATCATTGCTGTTACTGTAAATGTCGAACCACCATTCAAAAAGAAATGTTAATGGAATAGTGATTTATTGTGGAGGCTAACTCAATAATAACCAGTTGGCATTGAGATAAAAAAAATGGAAGATGGTGATGGGTTAGACGCACACAAAGGAGGCTAATCCACAACGTTACAAGACAAAGACTCAGATAAAACCCACAGGGGAGGAGAAAGGGAGGAAGGCCAAGATCCTCCTGGGAGCGAGATTTTGGAGACCTAAGACACGTTGGACACAGCTGCTGGCTGAAGGTTGAGATTGCCATGAACACACATGACTGGAGTGCTCTTCATTGTGACCTATACCCAATACTAGGGTAAAAGAGGCGAATGATGATGCTGAAAATGATTCAAAAATTGTTTGAGGTATCTTCAGCAAATGTCATCATGCATGGCTAACCACATCATCATTTGGCCTCATACTAAATGGTGACCCCGGAAGGCGCGTCGGGTCAAATATGTTGTGAATAGCGACTTTATGTTTACTTTTACCTTCATTTCTGATTCTACTCAGATCGAATCTAGGAATTTCTTTTTTTCAAAATCATATTCGAACTACTTGCACCAAAATGGGCACTCTCTATATTCAGTAGCATTGCGATAATAAGTAGAAATGTCACAGGGAGTGTTTGACGCTCCGCTCGACATTATCTGGATAGGCTTGGAGGCGGGCCATTTTACTCTAGCCTATCAGGGCCTTCCCGGGCTGCATAGAATGGACGGAGATACTTGATAGAAAACAATTCTTTCTAGGGAATCGAAGTCATGTCACAGCATACAGCTGTCGAACGACTAAAAGCTCTATGCTAGCTTTTTGATGCAAACTCCCAAGTGAAAGCACCAGGACGCTTTCGTGAAGACAGGACTATTATGGCTAAGTTGTCAAACGGTAAAAGGAAACTTGAGTCCTCCATTTGGAACTTAATGAGCCTATCTCGGTCATCCCGAATCTCCATTCCCAAAGGGGATCACAGGTGGATTGGGAGAAGCTTTAGTCATGTTTTATTTTATGAACGTGAACCTATCTCGCTGGATATCATCATTGACTAAGCTAGGGATTGCAGAGATAACAAAGTTTGGTGTAGGTAGTTTAGTGGTAAGGCTCTCAGACTTTCAACAGAAAGATCGTGGTTTCGAATCCCGTTCACATGTCCCCGATATTGTGTCTATAGGAAAGGCACTTCACAGAAATTTTCCTCACTTAAAACCTTAGTGGGAATGTATACCTGGCTATAGACAGTGAAAGCACGTGGAATCTACAGCCAGCACTGTATACTTCCATTGAAGCCAAGAATGTTTCTGGGTGTTTTAATGTCTTCTGAGGTAATAGTAGTTGTAAAGCGCATATCGTATGTTACAAATCGTGAATATTCGCTACATAAACGTTGCTGTTATTATTTTTATTGCTACTAAACTTTCTGTTTTAGGAGAGGTTTCGAAGCTGTCCTACAACTTGGATCTGCTCTATCGAAGATGGAAACTGCATTCATTGGTTTATGCCTCAGAAATGGACTTCAAAGGGTCTCAAATCCATGGACTATATCTGTTTCTAAAACGTTGAGATAAGTACATGTAGCTGTGGTTTTTATAAACACCAAAGAAAAATGGTTTTCTATGCTAGTTCCTTTCTTTTCCTTTACCTTTCTCAGTAAAAGTAAAATAAGGCATCCTATTATTTTGTCTCAACGCCCATCGACCAAATGAATATTTCGAAATTCAGGGATTCTGTATAATTATAAATAATTTTTAAGTTCCTAAAGGTGGTTAAAGGGTCAATGTTAATTTTAACATTCCAGTATCATAAACAACTATGACAATTCTAAATTACATGTGCATGATCAAAATACATGTAAATAAAATTTATTTATGAGTCTTTATACAATATGCAAGTCACAACCAGCAACGGAGAGCAGTACTGAGCGAGTGAGTACTGTAGAGACAAAATAAATTAAATGTTATGAAATTGTTACCATCCAGAAGACGGTCAGTTTATATTATAACAGATTGTCGGAAGTAAGACTAAGTGAGCGTGCACAAAACAGCTAAAACCGGAGATGTTATTTTAACGTCATAATGGAAAATAAAAGTGTCCATCCAAATGTGAGGCAGCGTGGTGGAATCAGCTTCTCGTCAATTTTGGGGCATATTGAGTTATTGGTATCATCTTACAGCTTGTTCATTTGTCTTGCTTTCAAAGAAAAAATTACCCATCCATCTTCAATAGAAGTTGAAATATTTTGGATTGAAGAAGGTGGGGGTCACCTGATTTAAGAGGTAAAATTAGCGAGAAAATGGCCGCCAAAGCTTGGTAAATTCCAAAGCTGGAGAGTCCATGGAAACTGTTAGTTTATATTTGTGTGCCTTTAATCTACGTCTTCCGCAAAATCCTCAAAGGAATGTGTTTGTAAATGGACATAAAAGGTGTTGAACCGGAATACAAAAATTTGATAAAAATTGCTTTTCTTCGATTTCATTATTTTGACGAGAGCCTGATTCCACCGCGCTGCCTCACAAATTAAGAAAACAAACAAACAAACAACAAACGTAACCCCAAAACATGCCCCGAAACAACGACAAAGTTTTAAAAAATTATTTCCGTTCCACTTCAATTAATCCCCCCTCCCCCCATTTCAAAATAAAATGTCGTTCTCATCTTTACATTACCAAGGTCAGAATATCATAACCTTTCTTTCGTTCATAAGACTTACATTTTAGGATTATAATGTATGAGGTTTAGAATTTCCCGCATATAAATGATGTCCCCCTTTACCCCCAAATAATAATAATAATAATAATAC